GCAATTTAGGCAACCCAAAAAACACGTTGCCTAACCACCACTTCGGTGCCCCAAGCTCTGTTATTATTGCATACGCGCTGCGGCCGCCTGAGGTTGCAGCTCCCTCTGTCAGACACGGCTGGGCGCCCATGCACGGTGGTTGCCGCCTTCGCCCTTGTATTTATTTCGGGTGGCCGGAATAATGGGTTTCAGCACCCAGAAAAGAACAATTTAGGCTACCCAAAAAGCACATTGCCTAACCACACAACACAAAGCTTTCCTTTTGACCAGATAGTTGACCATGTTGACCCCTGGGACAGGTCTTTGATCTTTGAGCGGAGTGAACTCGTAATCGCCACACCAACCCGCGATGGGCACCCTTGCCGGGGTTCTTTGGTATGATTTTCTTGTTTCAATGGATTCAGATTGTTTTTCCGGGCTTGGCATTACCCTGACCCTAATATTGGCATCAAAATAGAGGCCCTCCAAGCTTTGCGAAATTCCAAGTGGCCGCAATAACAGGTTTCAGCGCTTAGAAGGATACCCGGAAAACATGCTGTCGCTTCATGCAACTGGCCCAGACGCTTTTTACCGCCATCACAGTGTAGTTGACCGGGACGTTCATGGCAGATTGACGAGCTGGTCCAGCAACTGAGCAACTGAGGGACTTGTTGAACGAGATGGATGCTGTTGAGCCTCAGACGTCCGGCGGCGATTGGACTTTGTCAGTGTTCTGTTTTCTCGTTGAAAGATTGTTTTCATACCTATATGATGTATGTACGATGGCGTCTTCAGATGCATGATCCTGCGATGTTTAAACAAACTTATATATATAAAGACGGTATGTGTAGGACTTTGATGTGCTTGTTTCCGATGTTGTGATGCAGCGGCGCTGTGTTGTTTGCTTGGGTTTCTCTTTAGACAAGCAAGCGTGCGCGCAAACATTTCAGCTCCATGTTATGTTTCCGTGTACTTATCCTACATGCTTGGCCCTACCTATTAGTTGAGGACTGGTTGACGGGAACCAGAGATCGTTGTTTTTTCCAGTGTCTATAGTATAGCCAAGCGCAAAACCATCGTAAATTCTCTTCAAAGTATCCAAGCCGCCCTAGATCACACGGCTGCGCTGTCTCTTTTCATTTCGAGGTCTACGCAGCCGACCGTCGGTGATGTTGCCTTGGCCTTTGGGGTTTGCTGGGGCGAACTGAGCAACCAGAAAAGGAGCAGATGGTAGAGAGTAGCCTGGGGTATGCCCGTCAGCCTTAGACGAATCTCATGTCTGGTGCGTTTGCTGACGTGATTCTCTGGCGTTGCTATTTTTGGATCCAAATCAAAACGTGACTAGTCCGGCGGGTCCTTGATTCACATGCATTTGTATACAATATTGTCGGCAGAAGGTGTATTTAGGGAAACCTGTATTCGCAGCCACGTTGAAAGCGAAAGGCGCTACAAAGTACAACAAGACTTTGGGGGCAACCGATTTGTGTATTTTTGTGGTGTTTTGTGCTCCTGTCTTCTTTCTTCAAGTGAGGTGCAGGAACAATTTTTTCAGGTACTCACGTCATCAATGGCCATCGTGCCACTATGTTTACACAGACATATATATATATATTTTTATTGTCTATATATTTGTATATAAGTTCGGTGTGAGGTAGGTGGTTGGCGGTCATGGCGGGTGGTGGCGCGCGGTGGGCGGCAAGAGAACAAACATCAAAACGTGGTTGGGTTCTGAACAGGAACCGTTACCTAGGACCTGTAGCCCCTTACGACAAGTGTGAGGTTTGGGATGTAGCTCTGACATTGCTTTGGCGCGCTGGCAAATCAGGCCGCGGGATGCCTTTCTGGTGCTCGAAGTTTGCGTGGAAGATTTCCAGGAAGCCTTTCGGAACAAACAGGTCCAGAACCTGTCATCGGACGGAGGAGCCTTCTCTTCAGCTGGAGTTGCAACACTGTATTTTCACATAAGCAGAGCTTCCTAAATTAAACCGTGCACTGAAGTTCCCATTCGGGCCAGTTTCATATGGGATGGGACGGGATGTTGAATGTTGGGTGAAAGGCGGACTGGGTCAAGGCAGGCCTGCCGCCTTCCATTCTGAACTCCATCAGGCTTCTGAAGAGCTGTGGTCCAACTCCTCCTCGCCTTGAGCAGATTGGGCGCTGTTCTCCGGTGGGGTCAGCTCCTGCACGGCCTTCACATAATGGGCGCGCTGGTCCTGCACAGATTTCCGGCCAGGGCTTGAGCGGCAATCTTGTGTTTAAATTCTATGTATTCTGGTAATCCTTTGACTTCTTGTAAGAAAAAGGGGCAGGTGTTTAAAAACACAATCACCTGCAAAGCCTCCAGCCGCATTTTTGCCTCTGCAGTTTGCTTGTCCAGAAGTGACATAGCTTCTCGGCACCTTGGATGTATATACTCATTATTATTGAGATACCAAGAGGACCATGTTCCCAAAGCCCTCTTAGCAGGGCGGGACAAACATCACCTTAGTATGCATAACCGAGGTACTCCTCCCTGTGTTTGGATTGAAAAAAGTTTCGCACCATCTCCGTCCGCAGGAATCTGAGGGAGAGAGGCAGAGTAGCACTCGTGATCTTAGATGCGGAAAAGAAACAAAAAAGAATACCACAAAGAAAAGTCTATATCCTGGGACCGCTCATTCTTCAGAAAATCAAGCGTCACCTTGCGCAAGGCCCAGGAGCTGATCCAATGAACCGATTGCCGATGCGCCCAGAAGTCTGTAAGAGGGCCCTGCAGTTTTGAGATATGAAAGCCCAGCAATATCTTGAGAGGCTGTGTCCAACAAAACCACCTAAAATAACACGGCGCTAGAAAAGAACGTGAAGAAAGTGGGGCCATTCTTGAACCCAAAGCGCAACAATCCTTCTTGAGAAAGCGTGCGCCGAGTGGAAAAAACACAGCGCGACTGCATTGAGGCTCATCATTGAAGGAAATCTTGTCTTGTCCAAATCAAACCTGCGATAGACGACCAACACAATTATGCAGCGCACAATATCCCTGCTAGCGGCGGGGCTGGGAGAGCGCAAGCAAAAAAGCACCAAAAATAGACCAAGATTTGCAACAACCGTGGCAACACCAACAGCTGATGCCCAAGACTTGCATGGACTTGTTGCAGGGGTTAGTGTGGTGAGAAAGTACTTTGGGTAGAGGTTGGGTTTCTCAAAACCTTCTTTTATTAGGTGTGGATGCCAAGACAAATATTAGTTATAGTTCTAGTTATATATGTACTTCTTTGGATGAAAGGACAACCAGGCCCACCCCTTGTTCGTCCTGGAACCAACCAAATTCTTGTGCACTCTGGTCGCGTACTCTCCCTGCACAGCAAACATCGCCGAAGCCTTTGAAGGATACATATGTGAGACCCAAAGTGACACCCAAATGTGTGATGTTTCATTCGGATTGGCGCGTGTCTCCGCAGAACAGGAAGTGCAACGTTGTATAGATAGATGACCCTACAGATACTCCCCAAAAAACTTTGTCCTTTTCTGCTAATTTTCCACTTGCGCTGGCCTGCGAAAAAAGACCCCCACAAGTCCGGCTTTCCCCCCTCCAAAACCTGCATTTCAGGCAGGTCGAACCGGACTTGCGGGGGTCTTTTTTGCACGCCAATCCAAGTGGGAAATTGCAACCGTTTTCTAGCCTTGAAATGGGCATTGAGCAATAGAGTGGAGACAGGGATCCACAGACACATCACACCTCAGCCTGATGTAACGTACTTGCTCCCAGGACATGAGCTGTTGTGGGTGGTGCCGGCGGCCCGCCTGGATGTGATGAGCATATATCATCTTTGGATTGCGTTCTATTCGTCTGCAGAATGCGTGTTGCCTGCACGACGTCCTATACATGAGCAAAATAACGGGTAATGGCAGTTGGGAGAAGCGCTTCCGTGGACGCCGCAGGTTCGGGTCGAAAGCCGGAAGAGCATGTCAGTAAGTTGAAAGATTTTGCACAAGTGTGTTAAAAGAATGGTTGGCGCGCGTGATGGATGAATTCATGGGGGAGCCCTTTGAGTGCACTGCGATCGACTGCATACCATACAGTTCGAAGGCATGTTGCTTGTTGGCATCTTGGAAATGGATTCTTATGGTGTGGCTAACCCCGGTTTCAGAAAGGATTTGTTCTTTTTGGTGGTAAGTTATATGTGTTCAATCAAATGAGAAGTAAGATGCATTGCTTTGGGGTTGTGCAGCAGCAGCAGCAGCAGC